TATAGGAAGCCAATGTTTACAGAGTGAATACCAATCAAGAAAGCAAATTGATTTCCTTAAGGTCATATGTATATTTATAATGGGTTTACGCTATGTATGAAAAATTACGATACTCAAGTTGACCCTCTAGGTGACCCTAGGCTTTTTGTGCCAAAAAGCCCAAACTCCTACTACTTTTCTTATATAGATTATTTATAGGTCTTTTAAAATAATTTTTTTAATAATTTTAATATTTTTTTTTTTTTTTTTTCTTTTTTTTAGAAATATACTTAGGTAAATCAATAAAGATAGTTATTTAGTGAATTTTAATTATTTACTTTATTTTTTATTTACTTTTTTAGAAATAAACAAAGATAAGATAATCAATTAAAAGTAATATTCTGCAAAAATCTGATTCAATCTAAATTCAATTCTGATCTGATAGTTTAGATTGAATCAAATCAGATTCATATTTATATTTGGATTCAATTCAATTTGTTAAATCTGAATCAGATTTGAATTCATATTGTTTTAATCTAACAGATTTAAATTTAAATTTAAATTTAAATTGTCAAATTTAAAAAAAGTTAAAGACAATTAAAAAAATAAAGTTTATTATATTTTAATAATAAAATCTGTTTCAAAAATTAAAGCTATTAAAAAAATAAGTTTACTTATTTTTTTAATAATAATTTGTCTTCAAAGTCAGAGGTAATATTTATTGTTAATAAACAATAAATTTATATTTTAAAAGTTAGAAGTAACATTTACTATTAAATAAAAATTTACTTATTTTTTAAATAATAATAATATGTTCTGAAAAGTCAAAGATGACATTTATTATTAAAAAATAATAAATTTACATTCTAAAAATCAGAGGTAGTATTTATTATTAAAAAAAAAAAAATTTTTTTTTTAATAATAATCTATCCTAAAAGTCAAAAGTGATATTTATTATTAAAAAAAAAAAATTCCATCCCAAAAATTGGAGAAGACATTTATTATTAAAAAAAGAAGTTAATTATTTTTTTTTAATAATAATCAGTTTAAAAGTAAAGGTAACATTTATTATTAAAAAATAATAAATTTCCATCCTTAAAAGTCAAAGGCAACATTTATTAAGAATAGTATTTTTTTTTTAATAATAATTTATTCTGAAAGTTAGAGATGATATTTATTATTAAAATAATAAATTTTCATCCTTTTTTATTTACAAAATAGGAAAATTATAACTTAGTATAAGGTATTATATCAAATCCTAGATGAGGGATATGAAGAAAGTTATGTAGCACAATAATGATCATCTGGATAAACAATTAAAAATAATGCAACGCGTGATTTTACTACCGAACATTAATGCTATTAACTAATAAATTTATAAAAGAGAGAGGAGAGGGTTATCTATCTCCCGAATTGAGAAAAATATTTTAATTTAAAGAATTTTATTTTTTTTGTTGCAATAATTATGACCGCCACTTTATATATAAATTGATTAATAAAAAAAAAATCTTTGAGTTAAAATTATATTACAGAACTAATGACATCAATAAGGGAAACGAAAATCGGTGCATACAAATATTTGGAATGTTCAGCAAAAACAGGTGAGGGCGTCCGTGACGGCTCCTTTGGCTAAGAAAAACCAAAAAAGCACAATTTTTGTTCAACCTTATTGTACAGTATATGGGAGGTTTGCTATTAAAATAACCTTACGGATCATATCGATTAGGTTTAGATTAAAACGCTTTCTAACTGGCACCAATTCCCGGATTTACCGTGATCCGTGATTTAAATAGCAAACGACCCATTTATTTATAAATAAATATTATATATAATCGCATTAATATTAAGGTTTTTATAAAGATATGACGATTAAATAAAAACCTTTCTATAGGTACGCTCATTTATAATAAATTCCGAGACCTGTGATCTATAAGGGAAAATGGTAGTATTCAAATCTAAAGTTTTTTGATTTTAAATAATTTCAAATATTGAAAAAAGAACATACCTTTCTAAAAGGAAAAAGGTAAGTTTCTAAATACAGAAAATAAACTTAAATTAATAATAAAAAAAAATATCTCCAAAGGAAGTTTTACAAAACTTAACCAAAGACTTGAATTTACAAAAAAATTGGTCCATTCATTACCTTAAAAAAATAATTTTATTTCCGATATTCAAAATCTTTGAGAATCTTTTTTTAAAAAAAAATATCAAAAGTAAACTAGATTTCTTCGAAATACTTGAAAGTATTTTATAAAGCTAACACAAAAACCTAGTTATGCAATAAAAAGGCGGGAACTGCAGAAAAAATCAATTTTGGATTTAGATGATTTTCAGGTCGATTACTCATTTTTATTTTTCACAAGGATGCTTTTTTGTTAAAAGTCAAATTGAATTTCTGAAAGTTGTATCTTTTATCAAAAAATTTTAACGGAGAATTTTTTTGAAAATCAAATATATTTTTAAATAATTAACTTTTGAATTTTTTTTTTTGTCATAATTATATATAATTTTAAAAAAAATTTCATGTCTTTGTTTATTTTTGAAGCACCATAATAATAAAATCACAATTCCGTTACGTCGTCACGCACTGTAATTTATAAAATAAATTATAAAAATATAAAAAAAAAAAATATCTTGAAAATTGGTTAAGTGCAAAAAAAAATCATCTTACTTATGTCAGTATAAAATGGCATATTCTATTTCATTCCTTTTTTGGAATTCTCCGTTAAATTAATTATTCCCAAATCTGGTTATTTAACATTCATTCCTTTTCAATTATATTCGTGTTACATACTTTTGTTGATTGATCTAGAACTTTCGCCTAAGGAAATCTTTTATCCTTCAATTAAAGAATAAGAATAAGAAATGATGATCATTTTTTTAAACGAACAAAGGGTTTCAATAACTTGTCATTTTATTATTTAACAATCAAATTCAATTCAATAGCGGCTAAAATATATCATGCCACTATTTTTTTCTTTCAGTACAAAGTAAGAAAGAAAATGGCATGATTATTGTTTGGGCCAAACAGATATGCATTTGTATTTTATATTCAACATATAATAATAAGGAAATTTTAAAAACATCGTACGATATTCATCAACGAATGATCTTACAACATATTGTATGTTTGAACTTCGGGATCTTTGGAATTTAGATAATTTCTTAAAGGTAAACCCGGTCATCTGAAAGTATAGAAATATTCCCTTCTGGAGTTGTCCCGTTAAAAAGTTCCTTAATTATTGAGTACAACTGTGCGCTTAAAAGGGGAATGATTTTATGTATGTCTTGCCAAAAGCAAAGTAGTTCATAGTTCATACAGGGCATTAAACATGCGATTATAAGATTTAAAAAAAAACCTGACTAATAAAAACCTGTTTATATTATATAACAGAATTTGAACTCAATTTTTTACATAAAATGGCTACGCTAATTTGAAATTTATCTCAAAAATAATTTTTTTTTAATTTGTTGATCACGTGTTCTTTATTATCAACCAAAGAATCAATTACAATGTCTGTCTGTCATCATACGTCACATTTTTCACCTGAACCTACTTCATTAGACGATACATTTTCTATATCAATTGAATCATTAATTAAAGCCGCAACTATTAATCAAACCCCACAAAATTCGAGTTTTTCAAGGGTTGTGAAACAAGCAACCACATTAAAATTTTCACGCACACATAAAAGGTCAAAATCTTCAAATTCACGAATTCACTATAATAAATCAAAAATTGTTGGAAAAGGGTGTGAAATTACAAATAATTCTCGAGAAAACCTTAAATCATCAAAAATGAACGCTGTACCACGACAAACTAAACTTGCAACCAATGATAACTTTTATCAACCTAAAATTTTAAGTTATTATCCTCCAAGATTATTGACTCTCTTTCTACTTGGATCTTTCACTTCTTTCGTAATCGATCATTTACTTACACAAAATAATATAACGGAATACCCAAAAGATATTACAAAATTAATTGATACTGCTGCTTGGATTCCGCCAATATGCGGTGCTTCTGCAGTATTAGTAGGTTCGTTATTTTCATTAGCTGATTATTGGTTTATGCGAAAACCACAAGAATTTCAAAGGGAATGGAGTAATGTAATGAGGTCAGTTGAATAAAACTGGGGTTTAATTTTGTAATGTATGTCTTTCAATTATTGATCTTGAATTTTTTAAAACATATCAGATGTATGGGAGGTTTCATCGGGGTTGCATATGCTGCAACGGTTAGTCATTTATTGATCAGATATTTCAGTAAAACGTAGAATAAAATATTAATATTTGAACTTTTCTTGTAATAATAGAAATTACCATGGAGTAGCAATTATCAAGTGTCTTGCACATTAGCACTGATATCAATTGTATTGTGGTTCTTATTTGATCGTACTTTACATGGATTTATGATGTCCGCTTTGTTTTCTTCGATAGGAACGGGTGTAATGTACATGCTCGTTTCAAACGGAATTTATAGGTATGAGGTTTAATTAAAATTTTAAATTAGGTATTTTTTTTTCGTAACGTTTCTAATTTTTTTTTTAAAAAAAAATTATTTAAATAGTTTTACGCACGCCGATTTTTTTGGTGTACGATCATGGATTCCGGTATGTATATAATTTATATATATATATGATATTATCCGAGAAAATAGAGATTTATGGTTTGTAACTAATTCCTTTCAACATTTCTAGTGTATACTTTATTCATCGTGTGTATGTTTTGGTACAATTGGCAGGCAGCTAATGATAGTACCAGAGGAATGGTTTGAAAATATAGAACGAGAAAAAAATGGAGAAGTGGTTGTAACAAAAAATTCAAAAGTCGAATAAAATTTTGAGGGAATTATAAACCTTTTTAGTATCATGTAATGTAGAAATAATTAGAGACGTTTACAATTTGAGTAGGGACGGAAATGGTTGGGTTTATGAACAAATTATTGAAAGTCTGGCGATTTCTTTTTTTTTTTTTTTTTTTTAAAAAAAATTTTAATTTAAAGGACGGGTATTTTTTCGTCTAGTATTATTCCACATAAGGAAATTTTCTTAATATTTATTTGGAACAACTTCGGAAATTCTTTTTTGCATAAAAATTTTAAAAGATTTTAAATAAATAAATAAATAAAGAAAAAAACTTTTTCAAAATATCAAGATTAAAAAAAAAAAATTAAAAAACGCGGAAAGTTGATTTTATTAAAAAAATTTTTTTTTCAATTGTTGAGAATCAGTTATCACCATAAATTAAATATTTCATTAAATTATTATTATTGTTATATACATATATACATACATACATACATATACTAAAAATTAATAACCGTTAAACAAATAAATAACAAAAATTTTCTTTTATACAAAAAAAAACTCACTTCCATATATACTGTAATGTATATTTTCTTTCTAATACATACTTTCCTATATTTTAAGTTAATTTGTTTTCTTGGTATTTAATGGGTTTTCCACCATCACATTATCATCATCACTAAATTTAATAAAAGATCACGTTAAATTGGTTTTCATTTAGTTAAATCACGTGAAATCGGCATTTACTCACTCTTCAGTATCACTCCTTGTATCTTCGGCATTTTTACCGGTAAGAACTCTCCATGCGATACGTATGATAAGTGAAAACCAGTAAATCATTAAAAATTGCAGTAGTACTAGTCCGAACAAAATAACATACTTTGACCACCAAGTTAACCAATACCCATTTAACGGATCCCAAATACATTTGTTAAGTTCTGGTAAACATGATTCAGCGTAAGTACTCCAAACAATTATCCCGTAAAGATAATGTCTGGTATATGCCCAAGTAATCATAAAGAATACAAACATCATATCGGTAACGATGTTTGGAAACGCCAAGTACTTGAGACATTTTGCGAACTATAATGGTAAGAAAGCAAGGAAGAAAGGTGGCCATTAAATTAAATAAATAAAGCCAAAAGAAGGATGCATCGGTAAAAGTAGAACATAAAAATTAATTTATGAAAAAAAAAATAAACAAAATTTTGGCTTTTTTTTTGACCATTATTTTCAAAACACGATAAATGAACCCATAATATTAAATCTTTCCATTAAAATATCGGATTATCGAGTTTTGAATGTACAAAAAAAAATCTCTTCCTTCCTTTCTCCTCTTATTTATTTGATTATTATCTACTTACCGATAGCCAGATATCCGAAAAATCCATTGTAATGAATACCATATTCCCTACCCTTGTAAAATTGAATAAATAACTACCTCCAATCAACAAACATGTTATGATATGATGTGCTACCATCTCGATGAAATCCTTACGAGGTTTCTCGAGTTGAAGCAAAAGAACAAAAATTTGTTGAAGCCAAAATCCAAATTGGATAAGATAGTAATTTTTCACAAGAGGGGTTATTAAAAAATGTGGATAATCGATCCAAAAGTGTTTGGTATTAAAATATCGGTAAGGACCCTGAATCATTATATACTATCAGATAAAGAAAGATAAACGGAATTAATTTTATCCATCATAATATAAGTTCTTCAATTTGATCTAATAAAGAATAATATCTTCCAATCCAATAATAAAGTAATTTTTTTTTAACTTACTGTGCCAACAGAAGTCGATATTGAGCAATAAATAAAGATGTACCCTTGCTCCATAAATCTTGTTAATTTTCTCTTTGTTTTTACTCCCGCCCATAATGCAAAAGGCTTTAGCAGATATTGCATTGAAAACTCTCTAATGAATGTGAATACTAACATCCAGAAGACAATATACGCGATGTCCCAGTATCCTTTCACATATAAAATTTCATCTGAAGGGCTTTGTTGTACAGGGTATGATATGAAGAGAAATTTAGAAAAAGGATTTCGTGGAGTGGGATTAATCAAATAAGATAAAATTAATACGCTTATAATTTTTAGAGGTAGCTCTAAACGGAAAAAAATTGAATTAGAGAAATCGGGTCAAATTTATCTTGAAAGTCATTTATTAATCTAAAAAAAAATATGAAATGCGCGAAAAAAAAAAAAAAACTTCGAAACTTACCAATCTGACGTTGAATAATGTAGTTTGATAACATCGTCCATATTCCTGGCTTTTTTTTAGCAAGAATTTCATACGCGATAGTTTTTTCACTCTTTTCATTTTTCCACGCAGAAATTGGGTTCGACTTTTTTTTATTTGCACCTTTTGACATGATAAATATTTTTAAGTAAATATTGATATTTTGTAATTTTTAAATTAAGATATTCAATAACTTAATATTGGTTATAAAAAGAAAATTAAAGTTTCAAATTTATATTAATATGAAAAATAAATCATATCAGAATAATCTCGACTATTATAAAAATTATCAATAAAAATTCTAGTGATTTTTTTTTAGCCAAAGAAGAGAAAAAACCATAAATAAATATTACATCAAAAAATTCGCGGGTAAAAAGATCTACTATATAGATCTCAGCCCAATTTCCAGCGGAATCAGAACACGAGATGTTTATCAATCAGTAATTAACACGTGATCAATCATTATGTTGGTATCATAATATTAATTAATTATGTTTACAATCTAGAAACAGTAAAACTACATTTAGACTTCTTCCCGTTTTAATCGACAATGCAAAAAAAATTTTTTAGTTGAATAATTTCACATGAAATTTAATAAATATAATTAAAATCAATGTGCATTACTGACCCTAATATTGATTCACACATTTTATCCCCAAAAATTGGACAATTATAAAAAAAAGTTTTGACTTATTTCATGCTTTAAAAGACACCCAATCCTATTAATAAGGCGGTTAAAATTTAATTGTCATAAATCATAAATTAAATCCTCTCCATATATATAAATTACGTGTAACATTGATTAAAAATTGAAATTGTAAAATTTGTAATTCTGTTGTGCTTGTTTCTCGAATGAATTTCCAAAAATGTCAAAATTACTTGTCAGTCAAATCCAACACCGAAAGGAAAGGGCCTGTTGAAACAAGAATTGTTGTTTCAAATAAGATAAACACCTATGGCCCCTCATTCTGATATGAGTACATACAAGCGAGATACAAAGAAGTCATAAAGGGGTATATCAATCTCATTAAATGTTTTATTTTGTCATTTACCTTTTACTAATTTAAAACTATTATAAAATAGTCTTTAGTGATGTTCGATTATGAAAATTATATGAACAGAATAAATGTTAAGACGACCTTTGTATTATTGCTGCATTAGCAATGATTTTCCATTGCTCAGAGGACCATATAAATTTAAGGTATTATTTCCTTTGTTTTGATCAAAATTATTTTTATTACTAAATAATTATAGTAAAGACCGTGAAAGTGTATTTAATCAAGAATTATTAATGAAATTCGATCACAGATTTCGAAAAAGCAAAAATGTATAATAAACGCACTATTATTTAACAATCCCTTGTATTTCATAAATTACCAACAGTCATTTTGCCAATTTTCTCATCTAATACATTAAAATCTTGTTCTCTGGATAATCGATGATCACCATCTTTAATTAATATTATTTCTATATTATCACTGAAAACATTTTTTAACGTATCAGCCATATTTAAAGTTTCCTCAAAAGGTATATCTGAATCGAGTTTACCATGTATAAGTACAATAGGAATATTTATTTTGTTTCTGATACCTTTAAGATCTATTAAATGATTTCGAGATTCTTGAAGAAAATGAAATGAAATTGGATACGTTCCGGTTGGTGAATATTTAGATGGTTTATGATAAAAACTATCATGTGGTGTAATTTGTTCATCCAAGAATAATCCATTTTCTTTAGCTTCCTTTAAGATGTTTTCAGTGAAATTAATAGCAGGAGCAATTCCAATAATGCCGGTAATTCTTTTTTTTAACTGTTCTTCCCCTCTTAAAATTATCAACAAAGATAACCAAAATCCCATACTTGATCCAATTAAAATTTGTGAATTTGTAGTTTCATTTTTCGTTATATTATAAAGATCATTATACCATCTGCCAATTGTAACATTATTTATGTCTTTAGTAAATGAACCTGAAGATAACCCATGACCATAATGGTCAAATGTTAAAAAATCTAAATTATTCTTTTTACAATAATTTATCAAATGTGTTACTTTACGAGAATTTTGCATTTCTGAATGAAATCCATTAACATAAATTATTCCTGGTAGCGTTTTTATGGTTGAATTATTTGTATATTTCTGAAAAGCTATATACTCGTGGGTTAAAATTCGAAAACGACGTATGACCTCCATCATTAAGAATTTTTCGGAAAATTACAAATTTTTTTTTTAATAGAACAAAATTCAAAAAGCATCTATTATTAAAAAGATCTGGCGGTAAAAAATATAATCATTAAGAAACAAATACGAAATTCTATTACGTATTAATGGTTTTTTATAATCATCTAAACATCAGGTTTTGGTAAGAGCACTCTTATCCTTGACCCCCTTCCCTTAAATATGATTGGTTCGCATCAGCCACATTATATTTTCGTGTAACATTTATCTTAGAAAATATTGTCTATTTTTGCATTTCGTGAGAACTTTTAAATATTAAAAAATAATAAAGATTTTTTAACAATAAATCATAATGAAATTACTTTAATATTTTAATATAACAATTGTAAAAAGTAACTGTTTAACCTTGGAAATACAATCTTATTAAAATTAAGAATTTTATATACCAAAAATTAGGTAATATTTTGGGGGGGGGTAGCTGAAAATCTTATGTGGATTGATCACGTGATTACTTTAATGTAGATCACGTGATAATTATCAGTGGTTTAGCAAAATTTTATAGCAAAATTTTATTATAGCATTTTATTATATGCATACACACATACACACATATGCACATACACACATATAAGCATATATACATGACAAAAAAATACTTATTTCCTATCTGAAGTATATTCTCTTAAAATTCTTTCGTTTAATAAAAGTAATTTTTCTCCTTGTTGCAATGAAAAATTTGAAAAATTGTCAATAGTCAAAGAATTTTGTTCAATTTGACTTTTAGATTTTCTTTTAGGTTATTCACAGCTAGTAAGATGCTTAGTTTGCCTGTGATTTGTCAAAAAGGTAAGTGTTAGAAAGTACTTTTTACACTCAGAATAGCAAAGTCGTAAATAAGTTGTTTTTTCAAGAGATAAATAATGTGAATCATATCCAGGAACTTTTAGGTGATTATAATACTCAAGAAGATGTATTGGATTGGTATAATGTTCATCCTTTACTTTGATGATAGGAGGCAAAAAGCCATCATTTATTTGAAGGAATTCTATGGCTTTTTTTGCAAGAAGTAACTCACAACAGCTTATATTTGTGCATCATTTGATGTTAAGAGAATATTAACACAAATTACAATGAGTTTAAATCCATGACTATGATACAAAGCATTCAGTTAAGTCGATTGTTTCTTCTTCCTTTTGTTTCTTTTGTTTTTCTTATCTTGTCATTTCAGTTTTTCTGCTTTTTCTTTATCTGTACTCTCAAACTGCAGATTTTCGAACAGATTTTTGAATTCTCTGATATACTTGGAATTTACACGCTTTTCAAAAATCAAATTGCAATTCCAAATGTTACAAAGAGCTTCTCTGGCATATTTGAAATTTTGAAGAACTAACTCTGGATTTATCACTTTGTCTTGCGTATTTAGGTGTATTCCAAAGTGATTTATTAGTAAAGTAACATCTGCCAACTTGCTGGATAATGTTGCCATACCCCTTTTAACAGGATTGTATTTGGATTGTCCTGGAGTATGCGTTTGTACGCTCAGGTAATCCAGGTTAAATTTTTTAAAAAGCTGACAATAATTTTTTATATTTTTTAAATGCTTTGGGTTCTCATCTGGTCCTTCATCTACCAATAGTATCCAAATTGGTTGAATTTCTCTATTAAACTTCAATGTATTATCATATTGAGCATCTTGGATAAGGCATTCAAGATCCTGCATATGCATAAGTAAGGACGTATCAAGGGACTATTGATGACGTACAAAGATAGCGAGTTGTCCTGTTCTTAGATCATCATTTTTTATTTAGTTTAATCATCAGATAAACCGATAGAATTAACTTTTATCCAAATCCTGTAGGAAAGTCATGATTAGCTACGTTTATAGGTTCATTAATCGATTGTAATGTATAAAATATCTATCTTACTGCAGGTACACCTAAACTAATCTTTGCCCTATCGTCTTGAGAAATAACAACACTCGAATTAGCAAATAATGAAGCAAATTGCTTTGCACATTTAACAGATGCAAAGTAATAATGGCTGTCGAAATGGTCTTGTATATCAGTACGTAAAATTCCAGCTATCGCAACTCATGCTGGATAATAATATGCCTTTGCAGCAATCGAGTTGGCTTGGCGAGAAAGCAGGTAATTATTTAATGTTGTTCTTGCTATGTAGACATTATAATTTTTCTCAAGATTCTTACAGAGATTTCAATGATCCAGACTTTAACTACTTCTTTCCTTCTTTTTTCATCAGCTGTTCCAAATTCAATTGAATCATGAATATGGTCATGTAAATTCAGATGTTTGAAAAGAAGTGAAGGATGATTGGATTTGTCATACTTTACCACCTCCTGACTTTCAATAAGTATTTTTTTTTTTTTTTCTTTACATTTTCGAACATAATTTACATTCTTTTGTAATTTAATAATTCTCTCTCTGTTAAATTTGATTTCAATTTGAAGACTCTCTATTCTTACATACGTATCATGTCAAAGTTGAGGGTCAGTTGTAATATTGTAGATTTGTTCAAATTCGTTAAGTTTTTTTCAGCTATTAGTATTTCGTTTGCTGCCTTTTTTTGGGCTGATGCATTAGTGAGGATTTCTGATACTGAACGAATAGGAGGAGGAATAGAAGGAATAGAAGCCAGAATTGGATTTTCAGAATATTTGGTCTTAAAGTTTGTATATTATATAGATTAAATAGCGTAGAGAGATAATTTCTAATATATCATCAATCTCTATTTCGCTCTTAAACTTAATCATATTTCATTCTTATGCAGCTTCACAACAGACTTCAGTATAGTTAGGAAAACCATTTTCCATTTTAACCATAATGCTGTATATATAGACGTTCATAAAATTCTGATATTTATTTGCTAGTGACTTATAGATTGATTTTTTGTTAAAACTAAAGCTAAATAAAAAGGTTTGGCAATTTATTTTACTTTAATACAATATTGATGCATTTTTTTTTTATGAAAAAAGGTTTTTGCAAATGAAGGAATGAAAAAAATAAATCGAATTTATCATGAAGTTCCATAAAATTTGAAGCTTTAATAAATGCAAAAAATGCGAAAACCCTCTATGCATGATCATCATAAATCCTCGTAATAGTTGATATATCTTAGAAACAAACACGAACTCTTTAATTTTAGAATATGATTTTAAAACATGATTTTAGAATATTTATTTAGAATAAATTGAAAAGAATTTTAGAACACATTTTAGAGTTTTATAATATAGATTTATTTAAATTTAGGATTTTAGAACACTTGGAATTTCTGAACACTTGGAATATTTAAAAATTTTTTTTATTTAACAATAAAGTTTTTTAATTTAATTTAATTAACTTTTGATTTTTGTTTTATATTAATTTATGAAATTATGATACAAAATGGCAAAATGTAGTTGTGTTTCTGATTTACCTAAACATGGAATTCCATTAATTTTCTGCGATTAAACCAGGTCTGGATGAACAATTATGGATTTTTATAAAAGATAAATGATTTGCATATATATGATCTTACCTAGGGGTGAGGGTAGGCGTTATTAATAAAATTTTATTAGGTAATAAATGTCACTGCCCTAATTATATTTTATTATTAAATGCTATAAAACATGCTTTGATATTATTACAAAAAAATCAATAACTCCACAACTATTCAAGATAGACCCACAAAAATTATTGTGCAAGTATTTCCATACTGCTGAACAAATCTTTTATTTGTTTTCTTTGACAAGAATGTTCAAATTACGTCTTGAAAATAAAAAAATAAAACAAGTTTTAATAATATTACAAAAAAATCAATAACTTCACAACCGTTAAAGTTAGACTCGCAAAAATTAATATACAAATAGTTCCATACCTGTTGAACAACTTTACTTAAGCTTCTTTTGCTATTTCTTTTGACCAAAATGTTAAAATTACGTCTGAAAGTAAAATCAAAATGCATTTTAGTATTATTACAAAAAAAATCAATAACTCTATAACCATTAAAGCTAGACTCAGAAAAATTAATATGTAAGCATTTCCATATTTGCTAAATATATTTACTTATGCATATTTACTTATTTAGTTTGACCAAAGTGCTGAACACTAGTCAAACAATGACAAATAGGGAACCAATCGGGTCAAATTTGGGTTGTCAGATTTAACCTGATTGGTTCATTTTTTTTTTAGAATCAGGTGATCCCAATTGATGATAAATAATGTCGCAGATAGGATATAATAAGATTCCAATCAGAATGTTATAAAGATATCAATAGGGTTATTCTTATTGATATTAATTTATTAACATCCAGTTCCCAATCGGATTATTCCTAAATCATCAATAGGAATATTCCTATTATTACCTATTATAAATAGCATATCCCGATTGGTAACATTTTATCAAATTTTTATAATACAGGTAATTTTATAATTATTTATTTTATATAAGTAAGTAATCCCGATTAATTACAATCAAAAGAATTTTATTATTGATATGATTTATATTAATATAATACTTTAATTATAAGAAAAGTACATTTATAAATAATAA